AAAAGAAAAGAATAAGCACTTGTCTGGCAGGAGTGCAAGGCCCTGACGCAACTTGCTGAGGCCTCGACTCAAAATGAAGTAAAGTGCTGGCAGTGAAGCTCAGAGAAAACAGCTGCCTAACGTGTGTGAGGCCTTGGGGCCAAGCCCCAGTGCTGGGGGTGGGGAGGGCCTACACATAAGCCGCGGGTGGTGCCCCGTGCCTGTGATGCCAACACTCTTAGGAGGCTGAGGCAGGAGGCTCTCAAACTCGAGGCCAGCCTGAACTAGATACTCTGTCAGAACAAAGACAGAGTTTAAAGAAGGGTGCTTTGCCAATCTCAGTATTGTGACTCTTTTTTAACAGAAAGCAGGGGGTTTCATGCCCAAGAAAGTCCAGAACCATCTGGCGCTGCCTGAGATTTAGACCCTCGTTCCCAGGATCTGGGTCTTCCTCTCCAGTTCTTTTCTCAGCGGCAGCCATAGCCCCTGAAGCTGACTCGGAACTAACCGCAGGCTCTGCTTTCAGGACACCTCCAGCTAAGATGATAACGTTGGAGAGAGGCTCGGAAGGCTTGGGGTTCAGTATCGTGGGGGGCTATGGAAGTCCCCACGGAGACCTGCCAGTCTACGTCAAGACAGTGTCTGCAAAGGTACTTCACCCTTCCTGCTACTTCTATTAGCATCAAGTGGTTGACTTTTTTTTTTTTAAATTTTTTTTTAACATTTATTTAGAGTGTGTGTGTGTGTGTGTGTGTGTGTGTGTGTGGCCAGCTCAGCCCACCAGGGGGTGGGGATGGCTGGCATGTGGTGCTGGGGGATTGAACCGCGGTCCCTGTACTTTGCCAAGCTTGTTCCAAGTAGGTGCTTTAGACCACTGAGCCATCTCTCCAGCCCCGTGGTTGACATTTTTAAGTGCTTGTGTCTGCTGCTTGGCTGTGGACTAAACATGGGTACTTGTGTGCACACATGTGTCATGCATGTCAGTGCTTACATGTGTGCATGTGAGCACGTGTCAGCGTATGTGTGGCCGTGTGTGTGAGTGCATTTGTGTACATGTGAGCTTATTTCCTCCGAATCTCATAGGAGGCCCCACACTACCAGGAGAAAGTGCCTTAAAATAACGGCCCATGCAGGGTGGGTGTGGTGATGCCCGCCTGTTGTCCCAGCACTGCAGGCTTGTGCAGGCTTGCGGGATCCAGACCAGTTCATCAACTGAAAAGACTGTGACTCAAAAAATTTGGGGGGGG